GGTATAGTCTACAATAGATGTAGGTTTCTTTTGTTTTCTTGTAATAGTATTTTAGGAGCTCTGGCTGTGATGCTAGAAGCTATGCAATCAATATTTCAAATAGCAGCAAGATCACTCAGGTATACAGGTTTCAGAGGAGCTTCCAGACTAAGAGAGGGTATGAAGAATGATACGGTAGTCTACTTCTGAAATAAATTAGCCACTGAAAACCTTATGAATAACACCAGAACATTGTTTGATATACAACTAGAAGATGAGATGCTTAGGTTGGAAGCCACTTAAATTGTTGTTGTTGTTGTTATGTGCCGTCGAGTCTGACCCGACTCATAGAGACCCCTCCTTGGGTTTCCAAGGTGATATCACTACAGAAGTAGATTGCCCAAACTTCCTTCCGAGGATTGGCTGGTGGGTTTGAACCACCAGCCTTTTGGTTAGCAGTCAGGTGCCTTAGGCTCCATGCTACCAGAGCCCCTGACCTTGGGTATACCCCCCCTGAATTTAGAGAAAACAAACTAACAAAAAAAATCCACTGCTGTCCAATAGGATCAGACTCATAGCAAACCCTCTTAGGTTTCCAAGCAGGTATCACTAGGGAAGTAGATTGTCCAATCTTCCTTCTGAGGAGTGACTGGTGGGTTTGAACTGCCAGCCTTCTGGTTAGATGTCATATGCCTTAGGCACCTCACCACCAGAATTCCCAAATTTAGAATGCATCTCAAGAATTGATTTTTTGCACTACTCACTGAGATTAGTTATGGCATGACATCAAGGGCATCATATATGCAGAAAGCTAGAGGTCTTTGTAAAGACAAAGAAGAAAGAAAATATCAAAATGGATGTCAGAAGAGACAGAAATTTCCTTTTTTAGCATAGAATAACTGAAGTGAGAGGAATAAATAATTATGTAATAGAGCTGAATGGAATATTTCAAATGGGGCTGAGAAGAATGGGTAAACTACTATAATGAAATATGCAAAGTCCTGGAGTCATGAAACCAAAAGTGAATCACACAATCAGTATTTCTCAAGCTGAAAGAACTGAAGAAATATTCAAGTCTTGAGTTGCAATTTTGAAGTATTTTATGTGCAAAATATTGAATTACACAGGAAGCATCAAAAGAAGATGGAAGGAATACAGAGTCACTGTACCCAAAAGGAGATCTGGTGATGTAGTGGATAAACCATCTGGCTGTTAACCAGAAGGTCAGCGATTCAAACCCACCAGCTACTCCATGGAAGGAAGATTGAGCAATCTATGTCTGTAAAGATTTGCAGCCTCAGAAACGCAATGGGAGTCGCTATGAGTTGGAATGGAGTTGTTGGTAATGAGTTTGGTTTTTGGTTTGCTAACCAAAAGAGTTAGTCAATGTTCAGCCATTTCAGGAAGTAGCATATAATCAAGAACCTGTGGTATTGAAGATGAGGTTCAAGTTGCACTGAAGGCATTAATGAGAAACAAGGATCCAGGAAATTACGGAATATCCTTTGAGGTGTTTCAACAAACAGATGTAGTGCTGAAGGTGCTCATTCATTTATGCCATGAATTTGGAAGGTATCTACCTATCCACCGACTGGAAGACATCCATATTTGTGCCCATTCCAAAGAAAGGTGATCCAAGAGAGTGGAAAAATTATTGAACAATATCATTAATATCATACATAAGTAAATTCATTGAAGATCATTCAGAAGTGATTTCAGAAATACAGACAGTGAGCTGTCAGAAATCCAAGCTGGATTCAGAAGAGGATGTGGAATGAGGGATATCATTGCTGAT